AGTAAAGCAATATCACAATCAACACCTCTGGCCAAAACCTACAAATTAAGTCACTAATAGTAAAGCTAAATCATAATCCCCACTACCAACAAGCTGCAACATCATTCCTATGTCCAAGATGTTATTAATTTTCTTGAGGGTGAATACCTTAGCCACAAATTTGGTATCATCCCCTCTTCTCTTCACTTTGACCTGCATTTGTAACGAAAATAAAAACTTGATGATGGTGACAATAGCAATAATAAATCAGTTGGCATCTTTCCCAAAACATCTTTGCTATGACTGGGCCAATTACACACTAAACCTTAATGAAAACACATAAAATGCAACAAGGTTAAATTACACACTAAACCTTAATGAAAACACATAAAATGCAACAAGGTTAACATAACTGACGAGATAAATTTTTAAACATTTTGCATCTTTATGTGCCAAGTAAATGACACTTATGTACCCTTTTTTTCACTAACTTTTCACTATTAAGGACGAAAAAGTACCTGAGTATAATGCTCAACACAGTGGGCATTTGTCAAGAGTTTCCCGTCACCAATCATAAAAGCACTGCATAGAAAGGTTCAGATTATAAGTTCTTTAGAACACACAGGCTAGTGAAGAGGGTGATAGGATAAAAGTTCAAAACTTGCCTGCCTGTACTTGTATATTGTCTTTGTTTTTGCCATGGAAGGGAGTAGTCAGGCGCGGTATGGGTGCAGTAAACCTAAATAAATAATTGTTAGCGACCAACCAAATCTGCAGATTTTGATATTAAAAGTGATAAAATAGATGAACACCAAACTCCCATGGAACAACACTATAACAATGGAGAGCAAATGGTTTGTTTGACAAAAACAAGTACAATTCATTCCGGAGCTTCTATTAGAACCGACATCCCAAACAAACGCAAAGTGGTAGAATAGCTCAATAACACTGAAGAGAGGATAGTAACAATACTTGGAAAAGCTCAGCACCTAAGTGACATAACATGCACCACGAAGCTCGTACACGGATATAAACTACTCCAAATATAAACTTATGAAGAAACTAGACGCCGTGAACTCTCTCAAAGACACAATGCATTTGAAATTCAATAACCAAATCTGCAAGAAGGGTAAACAACATTCACCTTGACAACGGCATTGAGAAAATCAGCATCCTGGAGACTTTTCGGTTCAACCTGAAACGAAAATCAACACAATTTTCAAATCCAATCAGTGAGCATTTTTCCAAACCCGAAACTGAATCATCACGAAACGAATTCAGTGCAACAATTATCAAACCTGCTGCTCTTTCTGATCAACTACGGACTCCTTCCTCTCTTTTCGTTGCGTTCCGAACGCTCTGTACGCCACCGATTGGGACTTCCCCTTCTTCCCTCTCTCATTTCCGCTAAACTTACTGGGAACGCCTTCTCTCTGCATTTCCCAAACCAAACACAATCACAAACTACTTAATTACAAATACAAAAACGCACAAACGACGCCGTATAGCGGTTAGGATTTTACCTCCGGTTGGTATTTATCAGCGGACGGCGGCGACGACGACTGCGAGCCTTTTCTCGAACTGGAAGCTCTTTCTCTGTTGCTTTGGCCGACGGGCTTAAGAGCGTGGTACTGGTAGCTGCCGGAACAGAGCCACGTGGCGAAGAAAGGTTGGACGGAGACGGAGGAGCGGAGTTTAACGGTGGAGGTGACCGCAGAGAAGCAGCAGTTGCCGACCGCAACGGCCATTTGAAAAATGGAAGCTCGGAGCTCGCTGCTGAAAGAAGGAGGTTTTTGGAAGACGAAGTTACTGTTTTGTAGGACCACGTTTCATTTCCTTATCCGTAAATAGTTCGACTTTTTTTCGGGCGTGGATAATTTTGTCAGGAAAATGACAATGACTTGAAAACTTTGCGTTTTAGCGAAAATAATAAAAAAAATGTTGTAAGCGAATAATACTAAAAGTGACTTATTGAAATAAAAATATTTTTAACGTTAAAAATAAAAATTACTATAAGTGTTTGATTAAGACTCTCAATTTTGACGCTGTGGGTACGGAGAATTCCGGCCTGTTTATCTTTGGGTTGGTTTAGATACAAATGGGCTTTGAGCTTGTGGTTATTTGTGTTTTCGAATTGGGTCTAAAAATATTATGTCGTAACAACACTCTCTCTTGGGGTTGGCATAATTCGGTTTAGATTAGTTGCAGACACAAATTGTGGTCATATTAAGCCATATACGAATTTGATCGGGTTTTAACTCGCACTATGAGTAAACACCGAGCCAAATTGAACTATTGTTATGCAGTTCGATTCCCCCAGCTTTATGGTGTTCGATGCACAAGACTTGGCATTAGGCTTGGCATTTTGGACCCAACCCGTTAACCCGACCGGACCCAACCCGTTAATATTTATATTTGGATGGATGCTTAACGGGTCGGGTCGCTAACGGGTGAACCCGTTAACAACCCGTTAAATAACGGGTCACTTTGGGTCAACCCGTTAGGACCCGTTAACACCCGTTAGCACCCGTTAGTTAATGATATTTTAGTAATTTTAGTAAAGTCTTAATAACAAAAAATAAACTTTATGCAAAAAAATAATAATAATAATTGTTCACGGGTGTTAACCGGTGAAATAGGTCGGGTTCGGGTGACCCGTTAGCTTAACGGGTTGGGTTTGGATGACCCGTTAACTTAACGAGTCGGGTTGAACCCGACCCGTTTACAGGTCTACTTGGCATCTATGCCATCCGCGATGCAAAGCGCGCATAAGGTTATCATTTTCCCTCTATATTCCCAAAGGAGTTAGGGAGGGGAAGTGTAAGGATGTGCGACGCCCAGGCAAACGTGCCCTCAACCTAATAGCTTCGAGCAAACTTGCATTCATATAATCGATCTAGAGCTGGTAAATGGATCGTGTTTTTATCGTTTTTGTGTCATTCTCATTATTTTTATGGATCGTGTCGTGTCAAACTCATTATCTTAATGGATTTTTAATAGGTGAACTAATTGCGACTCGATTCATTATGAGTTGTGTCGTTTCATATTAAGTTAACCAGTCATACAAGAAATTGAAATGCCAAATGTCTAGACCTGACAAATAAGTCATACTTGTGTCATTCTCATGTTATATCCACTATTTTATGATAGGGGCGAAGCCATATGGGTTCCAGATGAGGCCTAGGCCTATCCTAAAATTTTACTAATATATATTTATTGTCTGCTAAGTTTGACAATAAAGAGCTTGTGGTGCATTGGTTACTAAGATATATTTATTGGGTGCACAAGATTTGGCTTCTTCCACCATCTCATGGGTTTGAAAGTTGTTGTCAATAGCTTTTTGTTTCACCGTATAAAAGCTAATTCCTTTTTCCGTCTCTTCGTATAAGACAGTTCTATACAAGTTAAAGTAAAGTTCAATTAATTATGTTGAAATTAATATCTCATGGTAGTAGTTTTAAGTTATGATCTTATATTTTTGTTCGAATCTTGGTTTTTTATTAAAGCTCGTAAAAAGTTTTATCCTTATGATATAATTATCAATATTTTTTGTTAAAATTTTGAAGCCTCGTCACTCTTGTTTCATAAATTTTCCATGCAATAAAAAAAAAAACCTTAAAATTTCTCCAATTAATTATTTGCTATATTTGATGTAAATTCTTTTATATATCTTAAAGACTCATTCTGAGACGAATTTCTAGCTCTGCCACTAATTTTATCGGATTTTCAACAGATGACCCAATAATGATTCGACTCGTCAAACGATTATTACTGAGTAACTCAACAATGACTTGAATCGTTAATAAATTAGCTCAAAACTTATTATTTTTATATCGTTTTATATCAAATTAACGAGACATGGACTAACTTTCAAGCGTATTAACATAGTAATGGTTATTTTTAGGGTTGCGTCTCGCATAGCCCAACCGATACGTATATGGACATTACACACGTGTCTACTACTGAACTGCCTAGTGTTGTCGTGGGGTTTGGTTCATCTGCAGGTGGTCGGTGGGGTGTGGGGCCACTGGCTGGTAATTTCAAATACGACACGATACAGACGTTGACGATTAACGGAGTAATGGAGCCGACATTTCCATTAATGCCCCGCATGCTTAGAGGACATGTTCTTATGAGTTATGACCGATTCATCGTGTTAATTTCTCCTGTCTCTTCCCGTCATTTTACACGGCCTCAAATATTTCTCATCTGCTCCGTTAACCTCCCTTTGCTCTGATTAGTAAGTTACTTCGGCCATCTCCAATCGATGGTTAGTCTTCTGGTTCTTCAAGATTCTTCAAAATATTAATATTTTAGTAAATAGTATAGGGTCATATTTGCCTTCGTCTTCAACTGAGGGTCAGAGGGTCAAATGGCTCGTTTTAGCCATTTCACAAAAAAACCGTCTTCAAGCCAAAGGACAAATAGTTCAAGAAATTTTTAAGAGAGTTCTATTAACATTTCTAAAAAATACAATAAAAAGGAAACATACGACACGTTGAAACCAAGCAGCCGGTCTAATTACTGACGCTTAATCTTCATGCAAAAGAAACACACTATTTAATTGATTAATAGTGTACGAAAATCTGTAACCTCCGAGACGGCCAGGATTGCGACACGCAAGCGAGAAAAAGGCGACGGGGAGGGAGCATGCAAAAAGAAGCGCATCGGACTCATCGGCGCAGATTAGCAAACATCGCCAGCCAGCACAGCACGGACAGGAACGATTCGTGGCTAATACGAGTGTAGAACTGTGAGAGAGAGAGAGAGCGAGTATAGAGAGAGGGTGAGTGAGGAGAGAAGGAGAGAGAAGCGGCGTGAAACGACTGGGTTGTGTGGTGCTGTGAAGTGTGATATAGCAGTGGAGGAAGAGAGAGTGTGATCAGAGAGGGAGGCGGTTAAAGGAAGCAGGACACATTTCGGTGGACGCGATCCTTTTACTAATTTCTCACCATCTTTCCAACTATCTGCAACTTTTAGTTTTTTTTAGACGGCTGGAGAGAAATATTTTATAAATAGATATGGCGCTGAGGACTGCTGGAGTGGAAGGGTTGCCGTACACCACCTCCGTGAATGCTAGAGAAAGCAGCGGGTGTACGGACGCCGCCGCGGCGCCGGCAGCTAACAACAACCAAGGTGTGAGAGTTTTAACGATTAAATGTGATGCACGTTGACCATGATTAAATTTTAGGGAAGTTTAACGAAAAGCACCTGGTACTGTTCACTTTAATGAAAAACCACATGTTTACACTAAAAAGTTAATCCTGGTACTATTCACTTTACCCTTTATTTTGTCCTTATCATTAAAACTCAAAGTTTTCAAGCCTTTTTCATTAGTTTTCCTTAAATTTTAATGATTGGTTTTAGTTTTCAGCATGAATGTGTGTGTGTGTGTTTTTTTTTTATTGAACAAAAATATGTTTGTTGTTATGATTCTAATTTTTAATTATTGAAATTTGAATCAAAAGCGCAAAACTTCAATAGGGTTCTCATGGTTTGAGAGTTTTGGCCTAATTAGATTATTAGTCTTTGGTGACAGGGTAGTCGAAAGATAGTTTTGTGGTAAAAAACTTAATATTTAAAACTATGTAGTGAAGTTCGTTAGGATTTAAGTCCAAAATTAAAAGTTCATCAACTCTTCACTAATTTTTATCATGTGAGCCTTACATGTGTGATGCTAAAACGGAACTCTCCGCTAATTGTTAGCGTGTGTGGCTTCATAAGGGGTTTAAATCCTAACTTTTTACCACAACACTATCTTCCGACTACCCCATCACCACGAGACTATTAATCCAATTAAGCAATTTTCATTTTATTATAAATATTAACTTTTTTGTATTTGTTGTTGTGATTTTTCTGTTGAAGCAGAATGTGATTTGAATTTTTATGTTAGGTGAGAAAGATGATTTATACCATCAGCTATGGCTTTCATGTGCCGGGGCGAATGTTTACATTTCCCGCCCCGGCGAGAAGGTTTTCTACTTTCTTCAAGGTCACATGGAACAGGTTCTTTTCATCTCTCCGTGACCCTTGATACCTTCTTTTGTGGCGGTTCCACTGTCCCTTAAGGCCATCTCTAACCGAAGGGTCCAGAGGGCCAGAAGGCCGAAAATAACCCTAAAACCGTCTCCAACTGAGGGCTAGGCCAGAGGGCTCTGGAATCTGGGAGGGCCCCACAGGATCGGAGCGGGCTGGAGGGCTGGCTGGCTAGCTATTTTTTTTTTTAATGTTTTCCTATTGCTGTCGGTTATAACCGACAACATTAAAGAAAGAATTTTTAATACTGTCGGTTATAACCGACAGTAATAGTTATTCAAAGGCAAATTTTTTTTTTAATTACTATTAGTGTCGGTTATAACCAACACTAATAGTTTGAATTTTTTTAATATAACGGCTAGTAGCCGTTGTATTAACTTTTTTTTTTATATATATATATGAATTTAAACTTCTTTTTTTCCCTTTTTTTTCCTTTTCATATGAATCAAATTTTGTTTCATATTTTTTTTCAATTCTATTTTACAAAATTTGTTTCATATTTTTTTTAAATTCCATTTTTTTCCTATAACTTCTATTTCACAAAATTTGTTTCAATTTTTTTTAAATTCTATTTTTTTCCTATAACTTCTATTTTACAAAATTTGATTCATATTTTTTTTTGATATAACTTCTATTTTACAAAATTTGTTTCATATTTTTTTAAATTTCATTTTTTTTCCTATAACTTCTATTTCACAAAATTTGTTTCATATTTTTTTTCAATTCTATTTTTTTCCTATAACTTCCTAGGCCATTTATACAACATTAAATTAAATTAAGTAACATGAAACAACATTAAACAATATGAAACAACATTAAATAACATTAACCAACATACAAATTATACAACATAAAAAAACATTTAGCCGTTAGATTTGAATTTAAATTGTAGTTTTTAAATAAGAAATTATGTTTGGCCCTATGGCCCTTTGGCCCTCGGTTGGAGATGGTTTTTTGTGACAGGGCTAAAACGAGCCCTCTGGCTCTTTGGCCCTCGGTTGGAGACGGAGGCCAATATGGCCCTGTACTGTTCATTTAAATATTAATATCTTGGGGAATCTTGGAGGGCCAGAGGGCTAAAACGAGCCCTCTAGCCAGCCTTCGGTTAGAGATGGCCTAACCAGTTTTTACCTAGCCAATGGTGAAAACTTTCAGTTATAGTGTTATCTTTAATGTACATAAGCTTCTTTGGCATCGTTATAGTTTCGTTACGAATTATAAATTTCAATCAATCCTTTCGATTTTTTGAATGAGGAGGTCCAAAGAGATGACATGTTTGCTTGTTGATCTGGAATAGGTCGAGGCATATGCAAACCAAGACGGTAAATTGGAAATGCCAAGATACAATTTGCCTTCCAAGATCCTCTGCAATGTTGTTAGTGTACAGCTAAAGGTAAATCATTTCTCTCTTCATGTGTTCAACAAAATGCGCAATTGAAAATCCTAAGGCTCGCGATTGATCTGAATTTGGTTGTTGTTGTACGATAACACGACTCATTTGCAGGCTGAAGCTCACACAGACGAAGTGTATGCTCGAATTACCTTGCTTCCTGTGATTGAGGTTAGCTAATGAGTGCTCCGATGACTTTATTTAGGACCTCGTAGGAGATTTACATTATTTATCCGCTTTGGAACTTCTTCCTCTGACGTTTTGAATGTATAACATATGTGTACTGTTCTGGCACCTTGCAGGAAGACCAGCTAAGTGTAGAGGAAGAAAATACTCCAACCTTGCCTCGGCGAACCAGTACACGCTCCTTTAGCAAGACACTCACCCCGTCAGACACAAGCACCCATGGTGGATTCTCTGTTCCAAAACGAATAGCTGATGAGTGCTTTCCACCTCTGGTCGGTATCCTTGTCTTTCCATCTAAGTAATACCCATTTGAAATGATATGATACACATCTGATAAGAAATAAAGTCACCAATTAAACCTTTGCTACCAGTTCATCCACATGTTACAAATGTTTTTGCAGGACATGTCTCAGCAACCACCGGTACAAGATCTGGTAGCAAAGGACTTGCAGGGATATGAATGGCACTTTCGCCATGTATATCGAGGTATCTTTACTACTCATGCATGGTTTTCGCTTAACCTTCTCAACTGGATTCATCATATAAGACTAATCTTAAACTTACAATGCATGCCCCATAATGTAGGTCAGCCAAAGAGGCACCTGCTTACTAATGATTGGAGTACGTTTGTGGCTGCAAAAAGACTTGTCGCTGGGGATGCATGTATCTTTGCGAGGTATGCTCTCTCTCTCTCCCTCAGTTAAAAGGTTAATTGGTCATCAGTTCCAGTTACGTAATGAATGGATTCTTGCTTCACAGATGAGAAAATGGAGAACTGCGTGTTGGCATACGCCGTGCAACCATAACACAACACACTGCGTCAACTTCTCTTATTTCTGGCCGTGCAACCATACTTGCCGACGCTTTCCATGCAGTTTCTACCGGCACCGTGTTTACTGTGTACTACCGCCCATGGTAAGCTGTTTGATCCTATGAGCTAATAATTTTTAGCTTGAATGCGTACAAGTATCATTTGGTATATACTAGTATACACATTTTCTTGGGTTTTAAGCATGAATCTTTTTATGTATCTGCAGGACGAGTCCTGCTGCATTCATACTTCCTTTTGATCAATACATGGAATCAGCCGAAATTGACAATTCCATTGGAATGAGATTCAAAATGCTTAATTTGTTGTAGAATATTTAATTTGTTGGGACACATGTTTAAGTACAAATGTGATATGAATATTTATGTGCTAGAGATCATGTAATAATGAATGTTCTAATGATTTTGGATTTGTCTAAATTTTTTGCAAGAGATGATCTATGAATGATGTTCTAAAAGATACATGAATCGAATTAAAATACATTACAAAGTAAACCCTATAAAAACATGTTTATAGTTGTGTAAAAAAAATAATATCACTGATCCGCCTTGTAGGCCATCTCCAGTGAGAGAGCTAAATGTCTAAAAGCCAAAAAAATGACCTAATTTGTCCAAAAAGTCATCTCTAACCAATGGCTAGGGTATAATTCTATTAAGCCCACTAGACCATTATTTGGCCTAAAGGGTATCAGTATGACCAAATGTAGCCCTTATGTAGCCATTATTTGGCCAACCGAACGAGGGTCAGAGGGCTCGTTTTAGCTCTCTGGGCCTCCAAAATATTAATATTTTAATGAACAGTACATGACTATATTTGCCTCCATCTCCAACCGAAGGTCATATGGCTCATTTTAGCACTGTCACAAAAAATCATCTTCAACCAAGGACCAAACATAATTTATTATTTAAATTTAAAAACTACAATAACTTAACTTTATAGGAAAAAAATGATAATTTATTAATTTTTTTTTTTACAAATTTTGGCCGAAAAAAACTGTTAAAAAATAAAAAATAAAAAATAACAGCTAGCTGACGTTAGCTAGCCATTGTATTTGAAAATTTGGCCTACCATTCCTATTAGATATAACCGACAGGAATAAGTATAATGTTGTCGGAAATAATCGACAGGAATAATGAAAATTATGGCTCGGCCCAGGGCTAGATGGTTGGCTGAGTTAGGCCAGTCGGTTGGCCTTTTGGCCATTTTTTGTCTAGTGGGGCCCATAAGCCCTTTGGCTTAGCCCTCGATTAAATACGGTTTTCGGGCTATTTTCAGCCCTCTAGACTCTTTGGTTGGAGATTGTGTTAGCCCCTTTTTGGGGGCTTAACTCATCAGTTGCAATAATTGATTCAAATTTAACAGATAGATTTGAAAACATCAAATGGTAGTTTAATTAAATTAATTTATAAATGTAAAATATAAACTTATAACTAATAACTTATTGAGGAGACCATATTTAGTCATTAGGTTAGAGATGGTATGTGAGTATGACCTGACATTCTTTATTTAAAAATAATTTCACGGGCACGCCCTCATGGTTTTGTTTATGAGAACTCACGCAAGCAGAACTTCTTAGTGGGTCACCCATCCTATGAATGCTCTGGTCCATTTCTCGCTTAACTTCGGAGTTTCTACAGAACCCGAAACTATTGAGCTCCCAAAAGGTTTCGTGCTATATGGAGATGAGCATGTACATATAAGGTCTAGAAGATCTACTCCCCTGGAGGATATGAGATCTAACACAAATAGTAACTGATGAAAACTGACTGCATGATGTACGATAAACAGTTAAGATGTGAGGATTATTAGAATCCTACAAAATGGATCCGAAAAAGAGCCTGGTCCATGTTAAGATGGCCTTAAAATATATGAAACCTAGATTGAATGCAACTATATATTGAAATTTGCAGTTATTGGACCGCCTGCCACAACAAAAGTCGTACGACATCCAAATACTCATTTTCAAGATCCCCTCAAATGTTTAAATGCCGCGTAAAATAAGTCAATCGAATTAGAAATAGTCTAACTATTTGACATTTAGCATCATCATTTTTTATGTATTTTTTGGGGAATGTATTGTGATTACATTTTTAGGATAACTAATGAAAATGATTCGAAAATTTTGAGTTTGAACGATAATGACAAAATAAAGGGTAAAATGAAATAGTACCAGGATTGACTTTTTAGTGTAAAAAATTGGTTTTTCGTTAAAGCAATACCGAGAGTTTTTGTTAAAATTCCCTAAATTTTTTGGTCGTAATATGCAAATAAAATGTTTGCCACTTTGTTGTTTCATCCAGTTAGTGATAGGTCAATTACGAGATCAAATCTTCTCCATTCATTTTGTATATGTTTCTACGTGGCCTCTATCATTGATGTTAAGTTTATGACAACAACGTAATAGAAGATAAATTTATTAACATGTGTTACTCAATAATAGAGATCACAAAGAAATCACATAGAAAATAAATGCATAAATTTTGATCATACCACGACGTTTACCAAAAAATAAAAAGGAAACGTACAACACATTGAAACCAACCAGCCGGTCTAATTACGCCAAATCCCCGCGATTAACTGACGCTTAATCTTCATGCAAAAGAAACCTGCTATTTAATTGATGAATAATGTTAGGCAGACCAAAATTTTAAACTAAATTTATAATCTAAATGAAATGTCATTAATAAAAATAAACACAATAGTCTACATTAATTAATGATTAAATCATCTACAACCATATTATTCGATTTGTAAATTTAGTTTAAAAAATTTGATCTTCCTAACATTACTGTTGATTAATCAACTAATTAATCAAGGAAAGGACAATATAATTATTTCTAGATACACGGTGATTCTCTAGACGGCAGGGCTACTTCCTGGCTTTTACGAGACAAGGGGGACCCACGCGTACGAAGATCTGTAACTTCCGCGAAGCGACGGTCAGGATTGCGACACGCAAACGTGTAAAGGGCGACGGAGAGAGATGCATGAGAGATGAGGGGGCATGCAAAAGAAGCGCATCGGACTCACCGGCGCAGATTAGCAAACATCGCCAGCCAGCACAGCACGGACAGAGAACGACTCGTGGCTAATACGACTGCAGAACTCTGAGGAGAGAGAGAGGGTGAGGAGAGAGAGAGAGAGAGAGAGGGAGGGGCACACAAGGCCTGGCAGGTGCAGGTGTACGAATCGCACAGGCACTTGAGAGAGAGAGAGAGAGAGAGAGGGAGGGAGGGAGGGAGGGAGGGAGGGGCAAAAAGTGCAGGTGCAGTTGTACCGAATCGCACAGTCACAGGCAGTAGAGAGAGAAAGTGTATAGAGAGAGAAAGCCGAAAGCCGAAAGCTTCTCTCTCCTCTCTTGCTGCTGCAGCCATTAAGCGTTACAAGGAACCGAAAAATCAACGCCTCTCTCACGCCGTCAGCGTTTTTCCAGAGAGAGAAGGAGAGGAGAGAGAGAAGCGGCGTGAAACTGCCGGGCTGCGTGGTGGTGTGAAGTGTGAGATAGCAGTGGAGGAAGAGAAAGTGTGATCAGAGAGAGAGAGAGAGAGGAGGTTAAAGGAAGCAGGACATTACGGTGGACGCGGGTACACCCGATTCTCAACGCCTATTTGTCTTCTTTCTCTCGAGCTCCTTCTACTAATTAATTTCTCACCAATTTCCCAATTTTCTGCGTTTTTTCTTCGCAACTTGTGCTTTTTCTAGACGGCCGGAGAGAAATATTTGATAAATAGAGATGGCGCGGAGGACTGCTGCTGGAGTGGAAGGGTTGCCGTCCACCGCCTCCGTGAATGCTGTAGAAAGCAGCGGATGTACGGACGCCGCCGTGCCGGCAGCTAACAACAACCAAGGTGTGGAGCTGAACCGGTGACCTCTTGCGTTGTTTTTACTGTTTTAGTCTTAGATTTTTAAAGTTAATTACTAATTTGAATTTTTCTTAGATTTTTAAAGTTAATTACTAATTTTAATTTTATTTCCTTTTGTAAATGTGATGCACGTTGACCGTGATTAGATTTTAATGATTGTTTTTAGTTTTTAGTATGAATATGTTTTTTTTTTTTTTTTTTTTTGTGATTCTAATTCTTAATTATTGAAATTTGAATCAAAAGCGCAAATCTTCAAAAGGGTTCTCATGGTTTGATTTTCCTTAATTTTCTTTGGCCTAATTGGATTATTAATCCCCTGGTGATAAGGTAGTCGGAAGATAATTTCGTGGTAAAAAAATGGGATTTAAACCCTGTAGTGAAGGATTTAGGTTCAAAATTAAAGTTCAGTCAACTATCAGCTAATTTTTTGCAGGCTTACCTCACATGTGAGGCTAAAACGGAACTATACGTTAATTGTTAACATGTGAAGCTCCACATGGGTTTAAATCTTAACTTTTTTATTACAAGACTATCTTCCAACTACTCTATCACCACCGGACTATTAATTGAATTAAGCCATTTTCTTTTTATTATATATATATATTAACTTTTTTTGTATTTGTTGTTATGATTTTTCTGTTGAACCAGAATGTGATTTGAATTTTGATGTTAGGTGAGAAAGATGATTTGTACCATCAGCTATGGCATGCGTGTGCCGGGGCGAATGTTTACGTTCCCCGCCCTGGCGAGAAGGTTTTCTACTTCCTTCAAGGTCACATGGAACAGGTTCTTTTCTTCTCCCGTGACCCTTACCACCTTTCTTTTGTGGCAGCTCGATTGTCCCTTACTCTGTTTTTTCCCAGTCAATGGTGAAATTTCAATCAATCCTTTCGAATTTTCGAATGAGGAGCTCCGAATAGATGACATGTTTGCTTGTTGATCTAGAATAGGTGGAGGCATATGCAAACCAAGACTGTAAAATGGAAATGCCAAGATACAATTTGCCTTCCAAGATCCTCTGCAATGTTGTATGTGTTCAGCTAAAGGTAAACTATTTCTCTCTTCATGTGTTCAACAAGGTGTGCAATTGAAAATTCAACGGCTCATGATTGATCTGAAGTTGGTTGTTGTCAAACGATAACACGATTCATTTGCAGGCTGAAGCTCACACAGACGAAGTGTATGCTCAAATCACCTTGCTTCCTGTGACCGAGGTTAGCTAATGAGTGCTCAGATGACTTTATTAGGGCCTCGTTGGAGATTTACATTATTTATCCGCCTTTAGAACTTCTTCCCTTGACATTTTGAATGTATAACATATGTGTACTGTTCTGGCACATTGCAGGAAGACCAGGTAAGGGCAGAGGAAGAAAATACTCCACCCTTGCCTCGGCGAACCAGTACACGCTCCTTTAGCAAGGTACTCACCCCATCGGACACAAGCACCCACGGTGGATTCTCTGTTCCCAAACGACAAGCTGATGAGTGCCTTCCACCTCTGGTTGGTATCCTTGTCTTTCCATCTAAATAACACCCATTTGAAATTATATGATACACGTAAAACATCTGATTAGAAATAAAGTAACAAATTCAATCTTTGCTACCAGTTGATCCACATGTTACAAATGTTTTTGTAGGACATGTCTCAGCAACCACCGGTTCAAGATCTGGTAGCAAAGGACTTGCAGGGATATGAATGGTGCTTTCGCCATATATTTCGAGGTATCTTTAAATTCAGACGCTCTTAAACATCCATCTGTGAAACTAACTTGTGTAATTATTAGTACTTCTTATAAAACCGGAAATCAAATGCACAAGTTTGGTTGTTATTGAACTGATGTTGCTTTAAAAAATTTAGAAATTCCTCTCATCACGCCAAGGGAGAAAAATGCAGTTTCCATGGTTGGCTGATTCTATGTAATACACAATAGTCCAACCTACAAACAAGTTTCTGCCCATGTAATCGCGTTTACAGTTACTGTGTTTTTTTACCTGATTAACTTCTTATGTTTTCGGAATGTGGTTTACTACTCGTGCATGTTTTCCGCTTAACCTTCTCCACTGGATTCATCATATAAGACTAATCTTAAACCATGCATGCCCCATAATGTAGGTCAGCCAAAGAGGCACTTGCTTACTAGTGGCTGGAGTACGTTTGTGACTACAAAAAGACTTGTTGCTGGGGATGCATGTATCTTTGCAAGGTATGCTCTCTCTCTCTCTCTCTCTCTCTCTCTCTCTTTCTGTTGAAAGGTTAATTAATTAATCTATAGGAATTTCCTTTTAGTTATTGGTCTTCAGTTCCAGTTACCTAATGAAAGTAATTCTTGCTTCACAGAGGAGAAAATGGAGAACTCTGTGTTGGCATACGCCGTGCGACCAAAACACAAGACACTGCATCAACTTCTCTCATTTCTGGCCACAGCATGCAACATGGCATACTTGCCAGCGCTTTCCATGCCATTTCTACTGGTACCATGTTTACTGTGTACTACCACCCATGGTAAGCTATTTGATCCTATGAGCTAATAATTTTGAATGTGTAGAAGTATCATTTGGTATGCTAGTATACACATTCCCTTAGGCTTTAAGCATGAATCTTTTCATATATCCGCAGGACGAGTCCTGCTGCATTCATAATTCCTTTTGATCAATACATGAAATCAGCCGAAAATGACTATTCCATTGGAATGAGATTCAGAATGTGTTCCGAAGGTGAAGAATGTGCAGAGAAGAAGAGGTAATCAAGACATGACTCGCAAATGCAAGAATGGACTGATAAAAGTTACAGTAGACATTGTTGATAATATATCTACATTTCCCCCATTAAACAGCCGTTATCTTTTGACCGAACATGTTATTGTATGAAACAGGTTGGAAGGTACTATAATAGATATCGAAGATAACGATTGCTTGAGGTGGCCCATTTCAGAATGGAGGTGTCTGAAGGTACGCAAGTTCCATTTTCTGACCATTTCAATCTGAAACTTAAATAACTCTCTCTTAGCATCTTTTTCTGGTTATTCCATTGTTTAATGTGTCCTTCCAGGTGCGATTGGATACTACATTAGATACATGCTTGCATTCCGAAAGGCTTTCTCCTTGGAATATCATACCTCTCCAACCTAAGAAGAGGGCACGTTTACCTGATCCACCATCCCCTGGGGTTTCTAGCTTGGGCAGGAAAGGTCAGTAACTCTCATATATCTCTTTGTGGAAAGTTTGTCTAGATTTCAGAAATGCTTCATTCTTCAATTCAGTTTTAATGGAATTTAGCTCAGGATTCATCAACTTATCTCTCTTTTTCTCTTATTAGGTTCATTGGTGATTTCAGTTGAGTCCACACCTCCAAGGAAAAAAAAGGTCTTTCAAGGTCAAGAAACTAGTGATCCACCTGCTCATGAACCAGTTACACCAAAACAGCTATTACTGCCACAGTTCATCCCACCCCCAAATCCTGACTGGGACCACACAGATTTGGGATTGGAAAACAATCTCAACGTTCCAATGAACGACCCATTTTACCAATGTCCTGGCTATCCAAAAGCTCCAGGCCTTACTAACCAATGGCCACCAATGTTTGGTTTTGGAGTCTTTGACAGTGGCACGTATAAAAGAAGCATGTCAGTTCCAAATATCAGCTCCTCGGAGTCCCAGAATTTGAGAGCCTTCGAACTGAGGAGTGAGACTCAATCGCCACTTGTCGAACAAAAGAGTACAATGCTTTTTGGAGTCAATATAGTTACTAGTCACCCCGAGCTCCCTTCACCACAAGTTGCCAATTCTATTGAACTTTGTAGTCCTTGTTCTATTCCTCCAATATCTCATTCAAGTGTTTCTGAAACAGTCCAGCTGTCAGAGACATCGAAGAGTATCTCTGGCGTTTGTTCTGAGAAACAATGCAAGAAATGTAGCTCCGTCAATAACAGGAGTTGCATAAAGGTAAATGATGTGTAGAACTTCTTCTCAGTTGTCTTTCCAAACAAGTTGAAGAAAAAATTGAGCTAATTGAATTGTATTTATTGTTTCACATTCTAAATTATTCAGTCAAATTATACTTTGGTGATTGCACTAAAGATGTATTTGTATGTTTACTTAACAAGCAAGCATCCACATAGGGTGGAGTTGATTGCTGAAGGCTAGCTAATCTTGCCAAGATTTCGACGTTCTTTCAGGTGCTCAAATATGGAGCTCCTGTTGGAAGATCGATTGACCTCACGCGCTTTGATGGGTACAACGAACTCATTTGTGAGCTTGACCAGATGTTCGATTTCAAAGGAAGCCTGATCGATGGAAGCAGTGGATGCCAGGTAACCTACATGGATGACGAAGGAGACAGGATGCTGATAGGAGATTACCTGTGGCAGTTGAGAACTAGAACTCATGCTGTGACTTTAAGTTTGCCATATCTGTTGTGCTTTACCGTCTGATCTGTTACTAATTTCATAATAACGCTACGTATGCAGCGAATTCCAGTCCATGGCACAGCGATTGTTCATCTGTCCGAAAAATGAAATGCCGAATCCAGGCTCCCCAAATGCAGTATCCATCTAAGTCTTCGCCAAGAGGTCACATGTGTTTATCTGTTCATATCAGAGCGTGCACGCGCGAGAGAGAGACATGGTATCGACAAACGTGTCTACTTGAAACATCAATGCGCGCATTGCGGTATGTATGCCAATGCAGCCGTGACAATTTACTGTTCAAGTGTAGGTATGCAGTATCAGTATGCATATTGTTTAAGTTAAACCAAAAGCTTAAAACTGTAGTTTTTTGCTGTTTGAAGAATGCCTAAGATTGTTGTGATGTAAAAGTTCCAGGTAAATGCTCAGAACAACTGTGGAACTATATGAAAAGTACCATATTTTACCATTAGATGATTGTTATTTTTTACTGCATAAGCACCTTCAGTTTTTAATTTAATTTACCTAAATTTTTTTAGAGGTATTTGTTGACTTCTCCGATGAACTTTAATTTTAACCAATTACTCTCCTGAACTTTTATAATTGGCCAACATTTATCCCCTCTAAATTTTTATAATTAACCAATTTTGCCCTTGAAGTTTAATTTTATAATTGCAAAAAGGTAATTTTATCCCTAATGTGGACAACATATTGTTTTTTTCTTTCTTCTCTTTCGTTGGTTCACTCCGTACACTTTTTGCCTGAATTTTAGGGTTTAGGTGGAAGCTAAAGTTCAAGAGGGAAATTGCCCAATAATAAAAATTCAGGAAAAAAATTAGTCAATTATAAAATATTAAGATGATAATCAGGTAAAATTAAAGTTAGGAGAGAAATTGACGATTCTTTACAAGTTCGCGGTAGAAATCGGCCCAATACCCCAAATGCGTCACTCAGTGAGAACTGAGAAATGATATTGATTTCAAGTTATCATATTTCAAATATTTGTATTGAGTACGTATTCATACTATATGTTGGGGCCAATACCCCAATAACCAGACTCTTATTTAACATATTGGGGCCGGGTTGGGCCCACCGGCCCTACCATAATCCAAAAAGGATCAAAACGAGCCGCCAACCATTTTCTCACCACAAAATCCAACACAAAAGGAGGAAAGAAAATAACCCAAACCCAACCTCCCTCCCCCCCCAACCCAAAATCTAAAACCATGAAATCTGTGTCTCCAGCCCGACCAATCACATCCCTTCGAAAACTCCCTCCCACCTCTACCTCTTGCTCGAAAATCTCCGCTCTAGCCAATGTCGCTACGCCTGCGCTCAATTTCCGGGTTCCACGACACCCGATTCGCCGGCGGAATGATATCCGGAAGCCCCAAACAGCTGTAAGATCTCAGTTTTCTTCAAACCCACAGAGCAATGAAGACCCAGACGCCCAAGTTCAAGACCTTGTGGTCCCACAACATTGGTTGACCCCCTCAAAGGCCTTGGAGGTATTACTTTCTATTTTTTAGGTGCTTGGTGGTACCTTAATTTATCGCTCAGTTAGTTTAGTCTCATGACAAATGATACTGTTAGCGACAAATTCTTCACCTAGTAGTGTAAGTGCAATAGTCGAGAATAATAACAGTCAGGTGCAATAACGATTGTAAGTATGCTCTCGAAGCGCGCATTAGTTTGTTTACTTTCCTGACAAGTGATAATGTTAGAGAGAAACTCTTCATCTATTAGCACAACTATGCTCAATAATAGCTGTATAATAATAGGGTTCGTTTGAAGGTACTTATAAAACGACTGAAAAAAGTATGCTCTCGAAGCGCGCATTAGTTTGTTTACTTTCCTGACAAGTTATAATGTTAGCAAGTGCAATAGTCGAGAATAATAACAATCGGGTGCAATAACGATTGTAAGTATGCTCTCGAAGCGCGCATTAGTTTGTTTACTTTTCTAACAAGTTATAATGTTGGCGAACAACTCTACGCCTATTGGCGCAACTGCGCAATAACCGCCTTATAATAGTAGGGCTTGTTTGAAAGTGCTTTGAAAATTATTAAAAACGCTTTTGATAAAATTGTTTTTTTTTTTTTTAACAATTCTTAATAAAAATGCAAATGAATCCTGAAAAAAACACTTAAAGTGATTTTGGGAAGTGCTGAACCAAAAACGCTTTCAGTTATTTTAAAAGCACTTTCAATTTTCCAAACGAGCCCATAATCAAGTGCATTAATGGTTGGATACATGGTTTTGATTCAAAACGAACTTTTAAGTAATTTCTTATGAAAGTGAGTTTGGTGGGACTTATGTGTGCTAACCATTTTATTTACATGAATGAAAATTCAGGAATCAGAGTGGCTGAGGGTTACTTTGCACAAGTGGTTGGACGACGAGTACTGCCCGGAACCAACCAATGTCGAAATCAGCAAGATTGCTGCTCAATCATTCTACAAATCTTTACTCCAAAAACAGACGGATTTGGGTGAGATTTTGTTGAAGATGGCCATAGAATTGGAATCCATTTCGTACCAGGAAAGCTTCCACGGCGCGTTCTCGTCAGCCAACGCGGCCGTGAATTTGATTTCCCAACGGATAGAGCAGGCCTAATTGTCACTCAGTCCAGTTCAAGGTTTTCAAAATTTATCTTGTCCTGCATTTCCTATGTAATGGTAGTAATGTTTTCTCGAAACGTCTGTCCTTTTAAGCAGTAAGTTTTCTGTAAAGAACGGACATCCTGCAGAGAGAATCTTCGATATAATGAATATATGTGTATCTCCTTGCAAATAAGTAGTGACAATGGATGAATGCTTAATGCACCTGATCTGGTGCAGGAAATTGCAATATCTTGAAAGATGTAAAACCTCCATCCACAACTAAATTATGGCCACTGACGTATTTAGCCTCGTCGGAAGCTAGGTAAAGTGCAGCGTTAGCGACGTCGTTGGGTTCACATTTTGCGCCAGCCAAGACGCCTGCGTTGTGCGTTAGTTCTATCAGCCGTTGTCTATCAACCCCCGGGAAAATTTGAGTCATTTCCTCGATCACAAACGGGGTTGGAATGGCAAATGGCGATATGCAATTGACTCGGATTCCATGCTTGCATAGCTCTGCAGCCACGGACTTGACAATGCCAATGACGGCAGACTTGGACACGGAGTATGTGTGCTGCGCCAGTCCTCCCATCAGTCCCGTCACGCTGGCTGTGCAAAGAATGGAGCCAGTTTTGCGCGGGATCATCACGCGCGACGCGTGCTTGATTCCTGCCACGACTCCTCGCACGTTGATGCTCATGACGCGGTCGAATGCTGTAAGATCGAGGTCCACGATGCTCGGGGGAGTGTAGCAGGGCACCCCGGCATTGCTGTACATAATGTCAAGCTGGCTATGTTCGGAGACGGTGAAATCAATGGCGTTGGAAATGTCGGATTCTTTCGTGACATCGCAGGCAATGAATGCCGCGTTTGGACCGAGCTCTTTCGCTGCGAGCTGCCCGAGCTGCTGTTGGATATCGGCAATGACAACTTTGGCGCCGTTGCTGACGAACTTTGACGCGGTTGCCTTCCCTATGCCGCTTGCTGCTCCGGTAATCAGCGCCACTTTGCCTTCAAGCCTGCTATGTCACACATAGAACCAAATCAACAGAAGGGCATGCATACGAGAAATTTAATCGAAATCGGAAAAAGGGTATTCGGGAATTCGAATAATTCATCCGAGTATTCCCGAATACCTACTCGATTTTTTGCCTACCTTCCAGGCTGGGATGAAAATCCCATCTTGAAGGTCGGAGAAGCCAATGGAGCTCTTGAAATGGTGACATTTTTTCTGTTCAAACTTCGAACAGTTAGCAACATAAATCCAGCACACCAAATTTCTTTCAATGGAAAGCGAAAACATCAGCTACCAAAAAAGAAAAATCAACATTAAAGAAATGAGGGATAAACAGTAGTAATTTTGGGCCGTCAAGATGACTAAAGCAGTATGCTCTATTTTAAAGATTAGATTAATTAAAATATCGCTCGAATTTATAAAGAAAAGGGAGGAGAAGCTTACCTGAAGGCAACCCTGAGCATATTTTCTTTTTTCTTGAAGAATTAAGATGGGGTTTATGTGATACTTTGAGATCAACTGGTTCAACTTCTTCCTTTCACTGAATTCCTACCTTTCTTCGAGTCATGGCCAGCTGTTGATTATATATGCTTTTGGTTGTGGTTGGAACGAAAAGTGGACGAGTCATGAATGTAAGGAAGACTCAAAGAAAAGCAAAGAATTCTAATGGATTCATCCACATGTGCACACGTGGTCCAATAGCGGCGTTTCATCTGACCGTGACACATGCATTTTGTCTCTTTGTTTTTGGGATAAAACTTTGTAATATATATGATTTTGTCATTATAAATTTTTCTCATTGTTTTTTCTTTTTTGTTTGTACACTCGACTTATTCTGAGCTCATGTTTACTTATAAGAAATGGAGTTAAGTAACACATTTATAAGCAAGAGAGCTTTTTTGTGCCATTTAGTATTACGGTTTAGTGGTATTTCTCTTCACTAGTAAGTAAAAGGTTTTAGGTTCGATTCTCGTCAAAGGCGAATTTGAACCATATTATTGCTAGCCTCGTTGTGAGGCTTAGCCCTCTTTCTTACTTCCTTAATATAGATTATATCGTTTGTTAGAAGAAGAAAAAAAAGAGTAACCGGATTTATAAGGAAAAGTATTATTCTCATTCTTGTGTTTACTATAAATCAAAGATTTTAAAAGAACATGATTACCATTTATGCGTTTTCTAAGGTAACGGATGAAAAATAAGCGGTCCACATTATTTTTGAACTCACGCTTAAAAAATTCTAAGAATGAAATATCCAAGGGCGTTGATTAACTTGATTATCCCATACACACCCAATCCTTTATTGGAAAATATTAGTATTTTTTGGTATTTTATTATCTGGGTAGTTTAGTTTTGAGCCCGGCTTGTTAATATTAGAGCTAGGTTTGTTTTCTATAAATATAATATTTTGTAGCGCTATGAAGATAAACAGTCACAAAGTAGTCCTAAACTTATAGCCGTCTTGACTCTTGTTTATTTGATTCAAATTGATAGAATAATATCGTAGTTTGGATTCATTTGTTGGTCATGCTCAATATTCAACCTCCTTTGTATCTATATTATTGCTCGTAGTAAGTAAACATGTCCAAATCATGCATATCAAACACCCAAAAATCTTTACTCGAAAAACAGACGGATTTGGGTGAGGTTTTGTTGAAGATTGCCATAGAATTATCTTGCTTAGTTATTTGTAACAAATTCTGTGTAAACGATGTGGAAATTTTGTACGTGATTTGCCGAAATTGTTTGACGATTTTTTTTACTGGAAAACGATCAATATTGAGTGATAAATAAAATAATATGCCACCTTATCATTATTATACAAGAATATGGAATAAAACGTTATACAATATTTATCAATTCTCGTGTTAATAAGGCTTTGGGTTAGCTCACGTGGTAAGGTATATATCAGAGCTAAGAAGAAATAAGAGGTAATTATTTATGGTGTAGGTGCTTGATATGGTGAAGTTTCTTCACGAGGGAGATATAGGTTACGTTGTGTTTATTCCGTGAACTTGTAAGCAAGTATTGTGGCAAAAAAGGGCCATGCATGGTCCAATCTTTCTTCTGAACTTGTGTTAGACATAAAAGAGCACCTTGGTATATTCGAGTTTTTGAGTTTCCGCTGTGTCTGCAACGTCTGGATTGTGAAATCATATGAGAAATGTGGATCAAGTGAGATTGAGAGTCATAAAAAGGATCCCAGTTGCAGTATATAGGCTGGCGGGGGTATTTGTGTCCTTTTGATTCAGCTAAATAAAAAAGGAAAAAAAAAAATGATGAAGGGGCATTCCGAGAATTGAACTCGGGACCTCTCGCACCCTAAGCGAGAATCATACCACTAGACCAAATGCCCACATACTGCTGGTTCTCAGTTTTATTTTTTTTATCCACCGAAACCCTTTGCTTAAATCCGCCACTTGCGTATGGTTTAGGGTGAGTTAGTCAAGACGGTGGGTTTATCTTACTCACTCGAGTTCGAATGATTGTCTGTGATTATGATTAGGCGATGAATAGTTTGTGGGAAATTAGTCTATCGAGTCCTTATT